GTTCTGAAACGCACAGCCAAACGGGGCAGTCAAAGCAACGGCTCCACAGGGTGAAGATGAAGGGCAAGCATCTGGAGAATGACACCAGGGCTCTGTAGTCAAAACTATAAAGGAAGAAGGGGCACAATGTCAGCACTCGGTGCTGGGTGTCCCCAGGGAGAGGTCGGGGATCCTGCAGGAGCAAAGGAGCTGCTGGAGGAGCAGTTTCCAAGAGGGGCTTCAGCCTTTGGTGGCCCTCACAGCTTCTTGATGTAAAGCAAGCTGAGCCAGGTGACCCCTCCTCACTCTGGCTGCATGAGCCAAGGGTCCTCATCCTCACCACTGAGAAGAACCCACAATTTACCTGGACACTACACCATGGGTGCCCAGGGACACGTTCATGGGGACTAGGGCTGGAAAAGAACCTGTCTGCATTTCATCAGAATTTTCTGGGCTCGTTTTTTTTCCTTCCTTTGGGGTTGAAATTCATCGTTTCAGGGCAAGATGTCAGCATTTGGAAAAACGTGGCCAGTTTTAGGTGATGGACCTTTAAAAAGAGGCTGAAAAAGCAATTTCAGGGGTGGGAGAGGAGCACGTTGAGGTTTGCACCCCATGTGTGCTTTTGGTTTTAGATGTGGGTCAGGTCTCAAGTGGTTTCACTCTGATTTCTCTCTTGCCACTGATACCAGCTGAAGCCCAGAGGCCAAGAGAGCATTTATTGGAGTTAAGTTTCAAAAATCCTCCCAAACTTTCTCATACCAGGTAGGAAAAGCTGGAAACTGGGGTGGGCAAGATCTGCTGGCAGGCACATCCGCAGAGCCAGGACCCTGCTGGGTCCAAGCCTCCAACGTGGAGGAGATTTCTGATAAGTGGAGAAAAAAAAAAGGGTAGAAACTTTTTCCATTGAAACTTCCACAGAATGGTTTATGCTGAATGGAGGGTGGGTGGTGTCATTTATATTTGATTTTCCGTTTTCTGATTAGAAAAGAGGAAGCTGTGTTATTTTCTGACCAAAAAAAAAGCTCCATTTCAGAAGTGAGCAGCTCTGGAAAACACCCCCACCCGCAAAACCCAACGTTACAAAGCCTGTACAACAAAAGCCTGGAAATCAAAAGTCAAGATTGTTTCTTTTACCCATTTTTTCCCAAAATCTGAAAACATTTGGGGTGGAATTTCAGTGTGAGCAACCACGTTCATCCTGGAAATCCTGTCAGTCAGCAGGCATAGGGGGAATAAAATAAAAAGCTATATTTTATCTGTCTCTTTCAGCAACAAGAAGGAGGTTGGAGGAGCCCAAATGGTCCCTCGACCTCCCTCTGCTGCTCCTGAAGCAGAAGATGGAGGGAGAGGTTTGAGGCTCGGATCATTTCCTTGTGGGCTTGTTTCGTTTCCCGTTATTGTCCCGGATCTGCTCCCACCCGCTCTGCCCAACAGGAGCTGGGGGATGAGAGAACCAGCCTGGCATTGGGCTTGGAAAAAAACCCCCCTCCTTCCTCCCCGTGGCACGCAGGGATCATTCACCCCGAAACAATGCGTTGGCAATGCCTTTCCAGGTCCATTTAGAGCCTGACCTAAAGCTTTCTTCCTGCCCGGGGTGAAAGGAGGAGGAAAAAGGGTTGGGTTTGCATTCAAAAGAGGTGGTTGTGGTGAGGTGGGTCTAAATCAGAGGGAATTTGGGGTGTTTGCATCGAATCTGCTCGGAGCATGTTCTCCCACTCAAGTCATGGCTGCAAGTCATGCACTGAAGTTAAAGAGAGAGGCTGTGAACAGGTTTAAATTTTCCTAAAAAGCTGATAAAATGGTTAAAAAAAAATCCATAAATCCCAGAGTATAGTCTGGCTGTTTGTTCTATAAAGAAAATCGATGAGTTCCCAGGGTAATAGAAAGAGTTCTTCTAACTGTGGCTTCCCAGAAAAGGAAATAATCCAGTTGGATGAGCTCGGGGAAAGTGGCACCTTCCCTTCCTCCCCAGATAAACCAGAGCCCTGCAGCCCATCCAGCCACCCAGAGGACTCTTGGTGTGTCACCCAGCCACCCTGCAGGGTCCCACCACGGCTCCCCTCCCTCAACACATCGCTCCCCTTTCCCCAAAACCAGAGTGAAGTTGGTTTGGGCAACAGGAATCACTTGGGTCCTTTCTTTTCTAGACAGCGTTAACAACTTGGCAGCCCAAAGAATTCATCTTGCCATCCCCTTGGTGGCTCAGCTTTCTTTGAGCAGCATGAATGAAGAGAAACCTTTATTTGCATTCTCTTCAAATTGCCCTCCACCACTAGCATGAGACCTTTGGAAGCTTTTTGTGAGAGCAGCCCAGACAAGATATTTGAGCTGGGCACGATGCCCCCACCGCTACCGCAAAGAAAAAAGGGCTTCAAAGCAGCTGCTGAGTCAGAATCAAGGGGGCTGGATGTGGTTGCTGCCCAAAAAGATCACAATGCAAAGCCCTGCAGGAGGAGGAGCGGGGAGGGAGGTCAATGGATGCAGCATTCCCTGTCCCTGAGTCACTTCTGCAGAAATCTGTGAGATTTGGCATCTCCCGAGCACATCTGAGAGCAGGGAAGGGCTTGGGGGAGGACACAGGGGTTGGAGGGGGGGGGTTTGGAAAGAAATCCCATCCTGGACCATGGTTAAGGACACCTGGGCTGTTGTCCATCCTCAGATTTGGGTGGGATGGGGGCTGAAGCTGCCTGCCCTGCAGCAGTAGGTTTGCAAGCTGAGGAGCCATGAGCTCCAGCGTGGACAGTGCGTAGAGTTGCCTTCAGGCTTCCTTCCCTGGAGCCCCACAAAAAAAAGGGGGAAAATTGCCTTTGTTCTCCTTTAGCCTTCACCTTGCTGCAGCTTTTAAAAGTCCAGAGCTGGCCCTTTATGTTATTTTTTTCAGTTCATGAAAGCAAAGTGTATTCAGAAGGACTTTTGGGGGGGTTTTTTTAGGTTTCAGGATTTTCTGCTGGAGAGAGGTGTACCTCACCATAACCCACACAGCTCCTGGACAGCTCTGGCTTTGAGGAGGAATTGGGGAATGGCAGCTGAATGTCTTCAGCAGAGAGGTCAGGCTGCCTGGGTCCCCAGAGTGGACGTGGGGTTATCCCTCCCTGACCCTAGGTGGTCACCACTCCCTCTACTTCTCCACCAAGAGACTTGCTGACTCTTTTTCCCACCAGGTACAAAGGCAGGAGAATGGTGGAAAATATCCATCACCCTCTTCTTCTGCTCCTCATCCTTCTCTCTTCTCCTGCACTTCCAGGTAATGACCACCTGAGCCTCCAACGTGTCCAGACCCTCATCTCACCTGGCACCCAAACCTGCCGAGATAATACTGGACTGCATCTTGAGCTTGGCAAGAGAAGATGCTCCTGCTCCATCTAAAGATTTCAAAACAATTCCCACTCTGCCTTTGCTGAAACCTCCTGGAATTTTTCAGCAGAAGGAGACGAGTCCACCCCGGGGTAGCCCAGAGCCTGGTGGTCAGCGTGGGGTCTTGGGCAATTTGGCACAGAGGGTGAAATCCCTCCTCTGATGCCTACAGAGGGGGCACCTGAACCTCCCACCTCCCTTCATCCCTTCAGCTCCTGCTTTGCTAAAACCAGTCCAGTCCTGGGGGAAGTGCTGATTCTGCTGAATCAGCATTTTCCAGCAAAAAAAAAAAACAACCCAAACAACCCTGTGGCATTTGCAATTTCCCAACCAGTCTTAATTGAGAGCACTCAGGGAAAGCAAACAAACAAAGGTGCCCATCAAACCAACGCAGAGGGCAGGTAACGAGCTGGGTATCTCCAACGAGGTGACTCCTGCCAGGGCAAGGACTGCCAGCAGATCAGCAGCTCTGGGGTGGATGCAGGAACAACCAGGCTTGGCTGTGAGACCTTGACCTTGCTACAAGTGGCTGGTGGTCCCTTTGGTGCTACTCACATGGAGGCTACCTCTGGGATTCAAGAAGCATCTTTGGTATTACAGATGAGAGCTCTAGATCATTCCCATCTGGGCCACTTCTTGGCATGACCCATGAGTCCTACAGAAGCCAGAGGTATCTCCACAGACTTGGCTACAATCCTTTTCTTCCAGCTGTTTCCATCACCCCTGTGTGCTCTTGGAAAAGTTCTAGTACCACAGCTCCTTCTCTGACCAGCTTTCAGAATCTGCAGCCACGGCCACCTCTGCCAGGTGGACCATCCTACAGGGACCTCCTGCATGGCTTCCACTACTTGGGCACAGGGGTCCCTCAGCATTGCCATGGCAGCTTTTCCTCCCAGAAAATGGTGATTTTGGGGGACCAGATACTTGACAGAGGTTTGCAGCAACAGGAGCAGAGGTGCTACCCTGGAACCTCCACCTCTTGGCCAACACCCTCACAACTCCTTTTGGATTTCTGCACATGACTTGTCAAATACTTGAGACCAAGAAGCACGTCCCAGAGCAGGGACTCTGTCCTGGCCTCCCACGAGCAGAAGGGGGAACTGGACACGTTTTCTAAATTGGTCATGGCATTCATCCATTATTTTTCTGGATACAATTAATAGGTGACCATTTTTTGCTTCATCTGAGCTGTTTCCATTACGCAGCTGAGGAAGTTCTGTCTCCCAGCTGCCTGGCTATATTTGGGCTGTGAACTGCAGGAAGTTGTGACATTGCCACAGATATTCCCCTTTAATGTCTCCTTAGAAAGAGAAATCTCCTTCAAACCTCTCTGCCCTCTCCTCACCCCCCTGGGCACCGGGGGCTCTGTGCACCCACTCCAGTGCTGCCTCATCCTCCTCCCTCTCTCCCACAAAGCTCTTTTGGAGGGCAGAAGGATAATGGGAAGTGACAAGTGGCTCCAGGACCTTTTAAAACTGCCTTACCCAAGCACAGACGACGACACCCTCCAGCAAACATCAGCGTCCCCTCCCAAAGTTGTGGACGCATGAACTGCCCACGTTTCTTCACACAGATCCACAACGTTTATTGAATAGCTTTGAAGGTGCAGTAGCATAAGTGCCTGTTGCTACCCGTGGCCCACGAGCTCCCCACTGGTGGCCTTGCTGCTAGTTGCAGTAGTTTTCCAGCTGGTAGAGGGAGCACGTGTTGTGGCAGCATTGCTCAACGATCCCTCGCTTCACTTTCTCAAACTCTTCCTGCTGGAAGGGCAGCTCTCCTGCCTCGCCGTGCAAGGGTCCACTCACTGCCAGGAGAGAGAAAGAAAAGCTGTGGGACATCAGGCAGCATCAGCCCTGGTTGATGAGCCATGCAGACACCAGATTTTTTAAGCCAGGAGTTGGCTGGGAGCTGCAAAGGCTTTGCCGGGTTGATGCTCCTTGTAGAACCTTCAGGATCTGTGTTTCCTCTCCCAGAATAATCCTGTGGTGCCTCAGGAGAAGACAATTTGAGTGGATATCAGCAGTGGGAAGGACAAAGGGATACAGGGGGTTTGTTGTCTCACCACAAAATTGCCCAGAGATGTTGTGGATGGCCCCACCCTGGAAGAGTTCAAGGACAGGTTGGATGGGGCTTTGAGCAACCTGCTCTAGTGGGAGGTGTCCCTGCCTATAGTAAGGACTTTGAAACTAGATGATCTTTAAGGTCCCTTCCAACCCAAACCATTCTACTATGATTTTATTGAGGAAGGTGTGTGGAGACCAGGAGAAAACCTCCACCCTCCCTGGGGATGAGCAGCTAGATGACAAAATGGTCTAGTCCACCCCAGAGAGATGCAGCTTGAGGCTGCAGCCCCCCTCAAGGCAGTTACCCACTCCTCTGGGAGCCTGGGCAAACAACTGGGATGTCCATGGGGTTGCAAGGATGGCCCAGTCCTGGGGCTGGATGCGTTTCCCAGCTGGTCCTCAACAGCTGGGTGCTGTTGGCTGCCTGGATGTAGCCTCGAGCTGATGGCAAAAGCATTTGTCTGTGTCCGTGTTCACAGCTGGGGATGGGTTTTTAGAAGGAATGATGGATTGGGGTATTTGGACCTAGACAAAACTCAACAGAATGTCTCATTTGCTGGTGAGAACTAGAAAACTCAAGGACAGAACCGTTCAGGTTTTAGCTGCTGGGTGAAAACATAGAAAATGGCAAATAAACCCATGGTGTTTTCCTGTAGGAAGAAAAGAGCCCCTGACAACAAAAAGAAAATGCCTGGAAAGTGAGACTGAGATGTGGTTTCTAGGGCAATATGAAAGTACAGCACGAGATGCAAAATCCCCAAGCCCCCAAAGCGTGATGCAACGAACGAGGCACAAGAGGAACAAGAAATCGTTCTGCTCGTGTGCTAGGAGGAAAATTTAGGGAAGATTTAGTCAAGCATTAAGTAGAAGAGGAAACAGCTAGTCAATGTTTTGTGATTTACTTGTCTTTGCCCTCCCAGCCAGCTGTGAGCAGGCTGTAAACATCACCAGTTTGTGTGGCAAAGAGATGGTGGCTCGGGAAAAAAGTCCTGGAAAAAGAGGTAACAAATCCTCAGCTACATTTTTGTTGGCCCTGATGAAATTCTTCCTGAAGCAGAAATTCTTCCTTGATGAAATTCTTTTAGGGAATTTGGTTGGTGAATATTGCATCCCCAGCTAACAGCCCAGCAGGCCATCCAGAATGAATCACAGCAAACCCTCTGCTATGACATTACCTTGCTTCACCTTCTGAGGACCTCTAAGACTGTTTCACAGGATGGTTACACGTGCAGGAGAAGGAATCACAGATGGATGAAACCAGTGTGTGATGGGAAGAGAAATGGGGGGAGTATTGTAGTCAGGGGAGGTTAAGGAATGGTCCATCTTGAAGTGAGAGGGTGAGATGGCTGGGATTTGACAGGGGTCTCTTCAGCTTCATGAGTCCTACCAAGGGCAACCAAAGCAGCTCCACCACCTTGAAATAAGTGCTGATAAAGCTGTGGGGGCTGAAAGCCTCTTGAAGGGCAAGATTAGTGCTAAAAATGACCTTTGAGGCTCTAGAAACACTGAAAAGATGGGATGCTGTTCAGTAAGAAATAAGAAAGATGCTAAAGTTGGGCAGGGAGATGGTGTTCTGCATCCAGGATGAGGGTTTGACTGTGGTAGTGGTCCTTCAAGGACTGCTGATCCACCTGAGGGAGGGCCAGGGCTCATCTGAGGGAGAACATGACCACCATCAATCAACAGTGCAGCACTGCTTTGAAACAGAGACAGGAACATGGTGTCAAAAACTTGCAATACTATTCTCCCAAACTCTCTGGAGAGTTTTCTCCCTCTGCTTGGCACTGGCAATGCCTCAGGTGGGGTTCCATGGGCTTCTCCAGCCATCACCAGTCAGTAGGGGTGATGTAGAACAAATACAGAACAATCTGGATGGAAAGAGATGTAGAAAATATGACCTAAGAAAGTAGTGGGGGAGTGTAGAGGGTGTTTAGGTGCAAGCAGGTTCAAAGCTAGACATGAGAGCAGTCTTCAAATCTTTTGAAAAGCAGCTGTATGGAAGAAAAGAGTGAATTCTTCCCCATGTCCTCTATGGAGAAGACAAGAAATAATTTGCAGCAAGGGATGTTTGGGTTAGATGTTGGTGAGAAACACTCAAGTAGGTCAGTTAAGCACAAGAAGAGGCAGTTTCAGAAGGCAGAAGAAGCTTTCTCATGGGAGGTTTTTATGAATATATTGGGTCAGGAAGAGGATGGGGACAACTGATCCTGTCTTGGGGCAGAATGAGTTTTCCTGGCTCAACTTCCACCTTTATTTCCTACGAACACTCCCAGGCTGGTGTAACAGCCACACAAAGACAAGTTGGAGCTTTCAGGCCCCATTCCTTTTGCCTCGTAAATCCCCTTTCCCTGCCTGCCCTCCCAGCTGCCTCTTTCACCTGAAGAGCTTTTCATTGGCCATGGGACGCTGTTGGTATGTTAGAGGTATTCCTGGCATCCCCCATCAAGGCCACTCCTGGTGTCACTGCCAGAGATGGGCAGTTGTGACATTTTGCACCACCTACGATGGTGTTCACCATCTGCCTGACTTACCTAGAGGCTGCTCAAGGTCCCGTCTGGCTTTGGGGTAATAGAAGAAACCCCGCTCTCCACACACCAGGTAGAGAGCCTCCACCAAGTGGGAGCCACAGAGGTGTTGAGTGACAGCTGCGTGGCTGGTCCCAGGGACAGAAAGAGCCAGAAGGGCCAGCAGAGGCAGTGACCGGATCCAGAGAGCCATGGTGAGCAGGTCTAGGAGGGAGAAATAGGTTGTCACCAAGCACCTTATATCCTTCAGCTCCTATGGCATGAAAATGAGACCAAAGTAGCAGATAGACCTTCTAAAGATGTCCTAGCTTGAGAGGGAAGGAGATCTTTCTGCATCAGGCTTTACAAGCCACAGTAAATCACTAATGATTATAACCAGAAGTCCATCTCCATCCACAAGCCCACATCAGTCCTGGTTTACTGGTGGTCTTTCCCCAAAGAGCCAAACTAGACTGGAAGTGCCACCCCACCGAGCCCACAGGGGTGAGTCGAGCTCAGCAGACCCCTTCAGAGGAAAAACCCTCTCTGCCAAGTCAGAAGGGGCTGTTCTTTACCACGATGGCCCAAAAAGCAGCACAATGTGCTCAAAGCCCTCAGGAGACCTCATTTTCTTGGACCAGCGAGCCAGCACTTGTCACCACCAGCTACATCTCCCTCAGAAAACAGCTCTGCAAAACAGAAGCTCAAAGGACAACGATCAGACTTACCCAAAGAAGTGGCAGCAAGGGATGGAGAGAAGTTGGCTCTGAGAGATGAAGACTCTTGGGTTGGTAGCAATACCTCTGTTCTCCCTTTCCTATATTTATATGCTTTACATTAGCCCAAGTGACACAAGAACTAGTGCAAGCTCCACCTCCTCGACCATGCTCTGGCCAAAATTTTTGCTGCTTGTGCACATTAATTTCCCTCCAGGTAGCATCCACGGGTCTTTATGGAGGTGAAGATAGAAGCAACGCTTTGCAGTTTCCATCTCATTTCATCCGACCTGTTTTTTGCTCCCCTGAAGCTCTGGCCTGAGCCATCAGTGAACCTTTTAGCAGGAGATAATGGTGCTATTACACCTTCGATGGCCACTAATGACCCTAATGCTGGCAATAGGCACTGCTGGCATTGAGGTGGCTCAACAGCTGTTTCTAAAATGTAAAATTAAAGGCAAACATGTTAATCTGTTTGATTAATGTCACCTTGGAAAGTATGCAAGCCAGTTGTTGGTGAGACCATGCTAGGGTCAGGTGTTTGAGGAAGGAAAACACTTCATTGCACTGAGGCTTCTCTGCTGTCCCACTCGTTGGCCACGAGGTGCCCGGCGAGAGACACGCGCCCAGGGTTTGGGCTGGGGGAGGAAGGGCATCTGCATTTTGCTGGAGACCTTGGGGGGTTGTCTGAGCTCTGCACGAGGCCAGAGTGAGAGCATTTGAAATTTTGTAGGGGAGAAAATCAGCCTTTTGCCCTCTCCTTCCTCTGCCAGGTGTCCTCTTTGGGATCAAGAAGAGCAGAGATTCAGGCTCTGCTGCTTGCAGGGGAGAGCTCAGAGCACCTCAGCTCTTCTCTCTAGAGCTCTGCCTGAAGTTGTGTCCTCAACACCAAGAAAGATTTCTGGTAAATCCCAGGGAAAACCAGGAGATAGCTGATTACCCCCATTCTGGCTGGTAAATTCACTTTTCACAGGAGATGATAGGTCAGGGGTGGTCCACTGGCTTTCCCAGGTCTGATTTGGGTAACAGATCTAGCTCACTTGCTCTTTCAACAACATTACCCCTTTTTTTGGATACTTCTGTGCTCAACTTTTCTGCCACCAATAACATGTTTGTATTTTTACTTGTAAGATACTTCTTTTTACTTTTCCTTCTTGAAAAGGCCCATTTTAAATGCTGGGGGTGAGGTGGTATCTTCAAAATTGCCTCAACTCTCAATTTTGAGACTACAAGTGCTCAGCACCACTGAAAGAAAAAAAAAAGATGATTTCATCTGTTTGAACTCTGCTGCTTGTTTAGTTTAGAATAAGGCTGATTCTCCATACACAGTATGGAAGTTCACCAAAATCAGCAGGATGCCTTGAGACCCTAACCAGATCCTGGATTTCTTGAGTAGCCAAAGAAATTCCATCCATCAGCAGCTAGGAGGTAGGAAGCTTTGTATGCCCCTGTCATGGTTTTAAATATAAAGTATCATATTTTTGCTAAATGTGGTTGCAAAAAGGCTCGTGAGAAGAGCTGAATCTCTGAGGAGCTTGCACGGAGGGGACTCAAAGGGATGGGAGACAAGGTTATCAGTTACATCCCCTGCCATGTAGGTCTTTGGGCCTCCTGCTGAGAAATCCAAGGTGTGATGCTCGACTACAGTTAAGAGTGTTTCTGCACAATGTGAAACACTATCTCTGTCTCCCTTCCCCTCCAAAAAGATAGGGGATGTACTTGAATGACCTAGTGGTTGAGCCATGAAGAGGGTCTCAGGTTTCAGCAAGATATGAGTACAGGGAATTCACTTCCTCAGTCCTTCTTTACTGGGAGAAGATAGAGAATAACCAGCTACACAGGATAAAAACTGGGATTTTACCCCATTTGAAGCTGGTTGTGAATGACAAGAGCAGAAGCTTTGTGCCCCTCATGCTTCCACCAGAGCAGGGAGCTCCCACCTGGCATCTCACAGGACAACTTCCAGAATTACCCTACAGATTCCCTTAGCAGTTGTCTTCCTGCAGCCCTGACCCTGCATGAGGTCTGATGGACCTCACTCCAGTGGTGGCCAATCTGGATAGAGATGAAATCTTGAAAGAGATGAAATCTTGAAAGAGCAAAGTGTTCCCCAGGTTAACCACACGCTGAGATTTGCCACTGAGGGGTTTCCCTCTTGCACTTTCAAATGTTACCTGAGCTCACCTAAACTCATGTTTTATTGACAGTGGGACTTTGTAAAGAGGCTTCTCTATCCACTATCTTCTCCCTCTTGGGTAGCTTCCCTGATGGGCTTCCCCCTTTCCTGGGGCTTACCCTGCTGATGGAGCAAAAAAAAACCAAGTTTATTTTGTGTTGCAAGTCCCATGTTACGAGTCTGTTGCTTCTCTGACTCTTGACTACCCAAATCCTGGAGGTAGCTTCACAAAGCTCGTGGCATTTCTGCTGCATGCCCCAGCAGGGGAAGGGCTGACTGCACCCGAGCATTCAGGAATCCCTCTTGGCTTGCTGTAGTTCAGGTGCAGAAATGAACCAGCAGATTTATTGGAAGGAAAAAAGATGACACGTTGACTCCAAGTTCAATTGTTTTTCTGTAAAAATTTCTTAGTAAAAATTTTATTTCCCCCCTCTTCCAAAATATGATCACTTTGGTTATTTATTGACTGTATTTTCTTACTGTGGATGGCCCTTGGGAGTAGGCAAAATTCTAGCAGTGATAATAAATGGATATAAAAGGGATATAAACTGTGGAAAGTTTTATGTTGGAGGGAAAACTCCCGTGTCAGCAGTGAACTGAAAGAGGGGGGCCAACAGGAGAGCCCATTTCTCAATGGAAAAGTTTTTCTTCAGAAAAATCTCAGCTTGCTCCTTCCAGGTTGGGCTTCCTTGGGATTTTTATGCAAGTAAGCCAAACCCTTCCCCATTGTTTCAGCTCCTCATGCCTCCTGTGACACCCCCAGATCCTTTAGATGTGTGTTGAGCTTGCTTGGCCGAAGAGTGGGAGCAGCAGGGTGGCACTGGGCTGCTCCTGGCTCCTGCCCTAACCCTAAATCATCTCTGGACGTGACTCGAAGCCACCTCCCTCACTCACATCCCCCCGACCCCAAGCAGTTGCATCAGTGGGAACGAGGTTTAGGCAATCCCCAGTGTCATGTAATCAAGTTTTACAGTCCCTTGCCAGCACAATAAAATCTTTACTACTGTAGATGTCGAGCATTTTCGAACCCTGTCCTGAAAAAAAAAATGACAGGCCCACTACAGGGGAATTCGTTAACAATGACAAGTTTGTGCAAGTTTTACTGACAGCAAAGGTCAGGTCCGGAGGCGAGCGAGCTCTCAAAGAACACCCAGGGACCCCAAAACTCCACCCCCGTGCCCATCGCTGCTCCCACACTTGGCAGCCACCGCCAGGGCTGCTCTGCCCATCCCTGGGCAGAACAGAGACCAAAGCAGTGGTGACCTCCTGCCTCCTTTTCCCTGGAGGGTGAATCTGGGGGCTTGTGAAACAAAGAGCTCCAGAGGAGGTGTTGCACCCCTGTGCTGTGCCAGCAGCCTGCCAAAGCCCAGCCCTGAGGCACCCAGAGGGGTCTGCACCCCCAAGAGCAGCTTTTTTGGGGGTGCTCAGTCCCTGGGGGCAGCCCCAGTATGGCCACTGGTGGGTGGGGAGGTGTAGTTGGGGCAACACCTTCAAGCTATTTGAGGTACAGAGGTGTAGCTTTCTGCTCAGCACAGGGAGATGGGGACACAGTGGTTGTCCCCCAAGACCCAGTGGTTGTCCCCTCCAGGCTTTGCTCTGCTCCCGGCACCAGCCAGTGGCTGGAACCCTTGGTGCTCCTCATCTCCCTGTGGTTCCCAGCAGCCGTGCTCCCGTTGGCATGTCCAAGCACAGGAGGAGCAGCAGCAGCAACATGTGGCCACCCTGATGGTGCCAGAAGGACAGGGAGGAGAACCTGGCACCGAGGAAGGTGCTGAATCCTGGGAATGCTCCCAGCCAAATCCTACGATGCCTTCAGAGATAGGTGGCAGGTGGGGCAGCCGCCACGGGCTTGGTGGGGAGAAGGGGCTGCTAGAGCAAAAGGTGGGGCTCTGGCCTTATCTGGAGCCACACAATGAGAGATGCCCTTGCTGCAGGAGGGGCATTGTGCAAGCAGGGAAGGGGGCCACTCACTGGGATACCAGTAATCTCAGCTGCTTCTGGAGACTAATCCTGGGTGCAGGGCATGTGAGTCGTCCCCGTTGCCCCACCGGCCACCAGGCCCAGGGGAGATGCTCCTGCCAGACTGAGGATTTCACAATTTTCCAGGCTCTTTCAGGCCAGGGACATTTATCTTGCTGCTTAGAGCACAAAGGGTTGATTCATAAAACAGAGGGTGTAACCCAAAGCCCAGTGTCACCAACTGAGTCTGACCCGTTGGTTTCTGTCACCTTTGGGCTAGCTGCTGACAGCAGAGAGGGTCACGAGTACATCTGCACCTCTGGAGGTACAGCTAGCTGGTGGAAGATGCTCCAGGGAGCAATT